AAAGATGGGCCATTTAATATTTTCAACAAATAACAATTCTAGGTTTGATTTCTATTTTTCGGGCAAATATTTATTACTTTGAGACTGATTTCTGCCGAGGATTTCTGTTCGTTATTAGTAGCTATATCGGTCAGAAAAGCACGTTTTACACAATAATTATTGCAGCAATACTTTCACCCCCCCGGGATTTTATTTCCGAATTTTTAACAAATTAAGAATTTTTAGTGTTCCGGTGTTCCTTGTTCCGGAATGATGCTGTTCCGGTGTTCCGTGTTCCGGTGTTCCGGTGTTCCTGGTTTTACTAATAGCCTTACCAGAGGAGGTTGGACAGCCAATTAGGCGAACATCTCGACCAATCAGATTGCGCCATTTTCCTCATGCTCGCACGAAGCTTTTGGCATCGAAAATTTACATAGGGCTCATAAATATCGATTTTTTAAATTTCATATTGTTATGCAAATGTTTTGGGAAATTTCACGCGATACTACTTTTACAACAGACAATCTACCCATTGGAACGGTATCTTAAAAGGTAAGCGTCATTTTCCAGTTTATTTTGACCTCTCACTTAGGCGCTATGCCATCGCGATGTAATTTAATGGCGTTTTTGTCAACAATCTTTGAAGACAAAAGTCTCAAATCTCCATGGTTCGATTTCGCTATTTTTGTCACGATTAGTTGAATAAAAGTATAGTCTTTAATTCTATCCGGCCGGCCCCCCTCGGCCCCTCAACCGTTTTCGAGATATTCACTGTTGAATATAGCCCTTTGTAAAATACGCTGCCTTATCACTCAGATCGATAATGAACTGCTATTACTAGCTTTTCTCTAAAGAAATTTGATATACTTTAGAAGTTTCGATATATTATGGATTTATATCTATTGGTTAAAGTATGTAAATAATTAAAGCACTTCAGTCACTTCTGTAACAAAATTTTATTGGTGAAATTCATTGTTTGGCTGATGTTTTAGATTTGAGATTCGTAATTTTGGCTAGTGGGTTCTATTTTTGTCAATGATTTCGTCTGCAAGAATTATTAAAGCATCATCATTAAATTTGCAGTTCTAAACTTGTTCACCTCTCTGGTGATGTTACTGATATGATGACTTGACATGACTTCTGGATTTTCAAAACTGACCCAGGGACAACAAGACCAACTACTCATCCACCTGTTTCAAAAATGGCTGGTAAAACTTAATCCTGGTTTAAGCTACGTTTACACGCTGCGATTTGTCGGGCCGATTTTGAAAAAAAATCGATGTCCCTTCTTCGACATTTAGCGATTTAAACGTTCAATTGAAGCTGTCTGCATGCTCTCTCGTCTGTTCATATTATAGTTTTCTGCGTGCGAAAAGTTTTCAACAACTTTACAACGGAAGAAAAATCGTTGAATCGTGAGAAAATCTGTGGTTTTGTTACAGATTTTTCTCCCGATTTTGTGAATCGCAATGTGCTGACGCGAGTACTCACGACAGGTTGTTTACATACAGCGAGCAAGATCGGCCCGACAAATCGCAGCGTGTAAACGTACCTTTAGATGCTAAATTTGTCCCTCATCCCCCTTGTTGCCAAGGCTATGTCTGTACTTCATGCTGGTAAAAAAGACAATCTGATTTATAACGCTGCTCGATGCTTTGGAGAAAAACACCATGGAGATGTTGGCCCTATAATGCCATTGGATAGAATGCCCTTTATAGCAGTGAAGGCCCCTTGGCCTTTTTTAACAGTATTTTGTATAAATATATGCTGTTACACAACTAATTCAGATAAAGTTTGAGAAATAGTGGTTCTTATGCACCTATCAATGTTAAACCCCAGAGAGGGGGGTCGGACACATGTTGGGCATTTGATTTTTTGATCAAATTTTCAATCAAATGCCCCACTGTTGGGCAATAAATATTGGTCAAATACCCTACCATTTTCCAATAAATTGCAATAAATACTATATTAATAAAAGTCATTTTGGTTCAAATTGCCCTAACTTGAGCCCAAATGCTAATCCATAGTTAACTATGGCTAATCAAAATCCCTAGGGTGGAGATGCAATTAATGATCAAATACCCCACATGTGCCACCCCCTCTGGGAGTTAACATTGATAGGTGCATTATATGCAGGGTTTTCTTGTATTCTCATATAATGTGCCTTAATTAAAGTATCAGCAGCATGTTTTTGTGGGACCTTTGATTAATATTATTGTATATAAATAGACAAATTTTTGTTTTATTGTTGCATTAATTTTAATGAAAATTTACTCACAAAATTGGTAAAGTGAATGTATAAAGTATTTAGTTATTCATTTAGTACAGCACATGTTACAATTATGTACTTAATTGCACAAGTGTGCATGACAGACATTGTTTTAATTGCACCCACTTGTGATTAAATTAACCTAGTTTTTGTTTAATTTAAAAATGCTGAAAAAATCTAAAAAGTTAGCCAATTGAAATAACAGCATTTCTGTAACTTGCTAAACCTAGTCAGTTGCTATTATATCACAAACATCTGTCAACGTACACTCATGCTCTTATTTACCACTTGAGTCTCCTACTCACCACCTCGGTTTATGAAATTTTTGGATAAAATCCTATTTTAGAAAACTCAACCCTATACTTGATATGCTGAACATAGACCTCTAAGATATCTCCTGTGGCAATTTGTGGGTGCAAATATTCGCATAGTTCAGAAGCAATATAACCAACATGTGCCCATCCTGTTCCATAGTCTAGATCAATTGCACTTGGGTCCATTGAATTCAATTGCTCTGGCCAATGAAGAGCGAGGTGTGCCTGTTCCAAAATGATGTTGGTAGTTTTTCTCATGAGCAGCACCGATGCACTTGAATGGCACAGCATGGGTGATTTCGTCCTCGTCACTTCATCCTCATCACTTAACTGGTCACCACTTTCTGCCCTATCACCTTCATTAACTGACCAGGTTCAAGACCAGCCAACCACTCAAATAGATCTCTTTCTACAAAATCATAACAAGAAAAATTTATTATTTTATACATACACTGTAATCTCTAAAATTAGCAATCTAATGCAAAAGTGTGTCACTATTCACAGTAATATTAGAACAACACACAAATATGGCAATATTATTTACAGATGAAAATTGAAAAATATGTAACTACTGTATGCACATATATAAAAAATCTATCCACAACTAGATACAAACAGGCATCATACTTCAGCAAAGATTTATTAAACAATTTGTTTAACTCAAAACATGTACATAATGTATCACAGTGACACAATACATAGTAGACACACAATAGGGTCAAACTAGAGGCAATAAACACAAATATTACGCTATAATTTTGCACAGTGTATTTATGAAATTACAGTACAGTACAGTACAGTACAGTACAGTACAATACAGCACAGCACATCACAGCACGGCACAGCACAGTACAGTACAGTACAGTACAGTACAGTACAGTACAGTACAGTACAGTACAGTGCAGTACAGTACAGTACAGTACAGTACAGTACAGTACAGTACAGTACAGTACAGTACGGTACGGTACAGTGCAGTACAGTACAGTACAGTACAGTACAGTACAGTACAGTGCAGTACAGTACAGTATAGTACAGTATAGTACAGTACAGTATAGTACAGTACAGTACAGTACAGTACAGTACAGTACAGTACAGTACAGTACGGTACAGTACAGTACAGTACAGTACAGTACAGTACAGTACAGTACAGTACAGTACAGTACAGTACAGTACAGTACAGTACAAGAATAAAAACAACAAAGCGGAAATTTGACTAAATAACCAGATAACTGTAATGTATTGTAGTATACCAAGTACCAACCTTAAATACTGCGCTTGTTTTCACGTTGATGATACACGGAGATTTAACGCTATCCAACTTAGAAAGAAGAGCCTTGCTATTGGGAATATTTATATAAACACAATTCCTTCGCTCAGACGGATTATTTATAAACTAAACTAAAATGACAGCACGTCCAATGCAATTTAAAAAAGGTAAACTTGCTATAGTGAAACACAAGTCATAATGAAGATCGCAACAATACAGCAATATGCTGTTTTCACAGAGTATCTGACACTCTTGTCGTTCGAAAGCTTCCATGTTTTTTTAGTCAGAGAGATGTTCATTCCTCTACAGTCAACAGTCAATGAAGGCACGCGTGGAATTAGGCGCTCAATGTCAATGATGCTTTGCGGCCTGCTGTCCAACCTCCTCTGGCACGTTACCTTTAAAGGGAAAATGGTTTACGTCTTCCTGCCTTTCTTTTGTTTATTTTTTTTGGGGGGGGGGGGTTATACTTGGTAGATAAAAGAATACTTATTGATTGGCACTTTCGGGAAACAGCATGTTTTGTGGACCCTCTACTGCCAAAGTTTTTATCAGAAAATGGGAACCAATAAATGTTAAATATTTATGTCCGGGCATTCGTTGAAAAGTATGTTCGTAGTTTTGACTGAGCATACAAATGACTCGTTCGGCGTCTCGATTAACTGAGACAGGATATTTTTTATGCATCTTTATAGGTCCTTTAGATTGCAATCCAGACGTCCATTAAAAAACCTGATGGTCACGACAGATGGATGCAATCAAAGATCAGCTGGAATTGGTAACATTGCCTACGTTAAAAATCTTCAGACTGACCGTATTGTTACTACAAACTTAAGATGTTCTAAGTTTGGCATTGCTTATCGCAGTTCCTCTTATTATGGATGGGTAAATAACAATATTTTGTTAAATTGAGAAAATGCGCAAAACAATTTGTTCTAATATAGGGAACATACACAGGTGCATCTCAAACAATTAGAATGTTATCTCGCCATTTATAAACTAGTCTGCGCACATGTTTATATATTGTAGCATATGTAAGACAAAATATTAGAAATATTTAATTTTCGCATGTATAATTATTTTCCTGACCATGCATAATAGGTTTATTTTTAATCAAATTTGAGCAAAGAAATGTTTTCAAAGGCATTCTATCTGTTCAATTTGTCTTTCAGCCCCAAATGAATTCATGCTTGGCCAAACCATGTCCTCTGGGTTTTGCTTTTCATTCCAAGGTGGTTAATTTTAAATTGCAACTTGATAATAATGGAGCTTTTAGGTTTTGAGAACTTTTATTTTTCTTGCCCGCATGCAAGAAGCTAAACTACTGAAATTACTGCATGAAAACATACCCTGTGAGGAAAAGGTTGAAAAATACTCTATTATGTTTTTAACAGTTACAGTACAACAAGAAGTATATCGGGCATGGAAAACAAAGCGATTGCATTCGTGGGATGCGATAATGATCACGTAAGAATTTTTGTGGAATATTATAACATCCACTTTAGTTGGCAGGCAGCAGACCCCTCCAAATTTGCTTGTCGTTATTATGGCATGGTTAAGAGCTAGTTGACTAACATTTATTACTGACTAAGAAAGGAATCGAAAGTGTAATGGAGTCAGACAAGCAAGGGGATTTTGAAAAAAAGTAAAGATAAGAAATAGGACGAGACTTAAGATTAGATATATAATGTATGAAGGTCAGAATTAGAATAAGGTTAGGAGTTAGGTTTTCGACTATGACTATAAAAAGTGTTCATGGAGATATTTCCATTCAGCTCTGTTTAATAAGGATCGTTTCGTAGATAATTTTTATTTTTGATTTGGGAATATTACTTATAGTGTTGCGGTTGCTATGGACCTGTTGGAGGAACAAAAGATTACTGCGCTGAAAATTGTCAAGCTATTAATGGTGGTACCATTTCAAAGCATGTCTTTACGTGGTTTTGGGTGAGATCTAGTCTTCCTAAGATAGTGTGGAAGAAATGTATGGATTATAAATTAAAGAGAAATGATGGAAAGTTGACTTGGTATAAGTTTGTTAGAGGAAGTGTTGTTCCCATTGAGGTACGGTAATTCTTTTATTGTTTTATTCGGTTCACAAGGAGACTGAGGTTTAGCTCTTTCAAAATAAAGTGGTACCATATATTACAAAAGTAAATTATTTTAGTTATTTTGGGACTTCCGGAACATCAATGCCTTGTAACGATGATGAATGATTAATATTGTTAAAAATATGTTGAAATATTTTTCAGCATTACCCTGGTTAAGAAATAAAAGACTAACTGCTGGACAGTCTGTTTTCTGTTAAAACTTCAGTTCTCTTTGTCATTTTTTCCAAACTAGGGTCGATGCACTCAAAACGAAGCACGTATATATGACGGTGTAAGGCAACATTCTTTAATAATTATTGTCATATGCACTCTCAATGAAAGTGTGGTTTATTTATTTCATGAATAAATAAATAAAACTAACGGCTAAGAGAATCCTTATGTTACGTTTTAACAGATTGTTGTCGTCCCAGACGGTACCGCTGCACAAAAAATACCACCGGTTCCAGGATTATTGGAATACCGTAAAGACAACAAGAAACTGTATGTAAGGTCTAATAAATCATGGAATGTGATTGGTGAAGAAAAGAAGGTATTGTTGAACTTGCTCTGCTCTCCAAAATTGATGAACACACCAGAATTAAATTCTTTCAAAGATTTTCCAAGACTTAACAAATTTTGAAAGTTGGTTGAACTCTTTGAATTGTTAGTAATTGTACTTATACTCATGCAGACGTCCAATCGTTTTCTTACTAAGGGTGATTAGGAATTTTTGAAATGTCTGAAATGACTTGTCGCATATAGGGGGTTTAATTCATGATCAAGTAAAACTATACAAATAATATGTCATATATATGGTCTTATGGACTAACGTTTAGCTTTAACACAAAATCTTTAGCTTGCATGCAATTTCACATTTATTGTGGTAATGAATTTTGCAATTAATATTCGCCCTTGCTAGTACTAAGTGGTCTGGAAGCTAACTCCGTAGTATACGGTAGGCACAAAACTTAACCTGTTTCCACCGTAGGCAGCCCAATGACTATATATGCGTATGAAAGATCTGACTAGAATATTCAAATCTTTAATAAAACCGTGCCTGTCCTGGCAAATGAATGTCTAGATAAAAATGAAATTCTGCAGTTCAAGATGTCTATTTAAAATTAAGGGCATCTTGCAACTTTTTCACTATTCCTACATTCAGTTTAAACTTTTTGCGACGGTTTCAGTTGGTTCTTTGCACTTTATAACTAAAAAGAAAGACCTATATAAATAGCTTTCCGCCGTTTTGTTAACTGCCATTCTTAAATAAAACTACCGCATATGTTACTTCCCTACTTTCAATAATTCTGATAAATCGTATAATGTCGATTGTATACTTTTTATAAAACGCATTAATAATAATTTCAAACGCTCATTAATAATTCATAAGCTTATTGGCAAATCATGTCAACTATAACATGTCACGCGTGCAGTGGCTTTAAACCTGATAAAACACTCCTAATTAGTATAATAGTATTCTTTATATAAAGAATACTAATAAGGCAGTATCTATTGTTGTTGTGTCCTCATCAGTATTTTGTATATAAAGAATACTAATAAGGCGGTATATCTATTGAATTTGTATCGTCGTGTTTGAAGCCGTTTAATAAACTCGCTGGTCGAGTTTTTGCTGCCGTAGGCAGCATACTAATCTCGACAACTGATTTTGACGTAATGACTCGTGCCAGTTTCCTTGACCGAGTTATAACGATGCAACTTGAATCAAAATATGGAAGAAATTTGGATTTCTGTCAGTTGGTAATTGCTCGTAAGTCGCCGTAAAGCTCTCGCTCTGTACTTTCCGCCATGATGAAAAATATAAAAAACGATAATTTCTTCACAAATAGTCTTGTATAACGTTGTATAGTGTCGTACAGTGTCGTAGATAGATAGATAGATTTATTTAACCACGCTAACCTCGTCAATTAAAGCTGATTTCCACGAGGGGCGTGTGAACAAGAAGTATACAGCAAATATGAAAAGTATTTAAAAGCTATTTACAAAATAGAAAACATAGTATAAAATATATTAAGTATATGAGATAATAATGTATTTACAGATGCATATATTTGCTTTAATTATCAATGTGAGCACTGAGCAGCGATTTTCGTCCGAAAGGAAGAAAGGGATTCGCTCTCTTTAATTTCCTTTGGAATAGAATTCCAAAGGAATAATCCATCGTACATAACATTTTTTTTCAAATTATTAGTCCGCGGTTGCGGTAAACAAAGAGTACCTGAAACGTTTCGAAGATTATAGCTAGTCAACTCACTTTTACAAGTGAATAAGTTAGTGAGTGATTGAGGGCCCATGTTATTTAATAATTTATACATCATTTTTGCCTTGGCTTTCTTCCTTTCTACTTTAAGTGTCTTCCAGTCCAATGCTTGCAATGCTACAGAATGATCTGTGTCATTGCTCAGTCATATTCCTGAACACATCCCATACTTCACAGCGGCAATCGAAGTGCGGGCGAACAATAGCATTATAAACAGAAAGAAGCGTTAGCCTGTCAACAAAATCTTTTAAACGTCTAAGAGCAGAAATTCCTGATGTTATTTTCCTGCAAATATTTTCATTGTTACTTTTCCACGACAAATGCTGGTCGACTGTCACACCAAGAGTTTTGCACTCATACACTTGTAAAATCTGTTTGTTTTCAATTACCACATTTGGCTGCAAATTTGAAACGCTTTTAATAATTTGTTTTGAGCCAATTAACATAAATTCAGTTTTTGCAACATTGAGGCTAAGTTTATTGGCAATTAGCCATTTTTTTAGGTTTTCTAAATCAGAATTCGCCTTATATATTCGCCTCATAATTTTTATAGTCTTGTATAATGTTGTATAGTGTTGTATATAGTGTCGTATAACCTTATATATTGTTGCATAGTCTTGTATAACGTTGTACAGTGTTGTACAGTTTTATATAGTGTCGTATAGCCTTTATATGTTGTTATATAGTCTTGTATAACGTTATATAATGTTGTATAGTGTCGTATAGCCTTGTATATTATTGTGTAGTGTCGTATAGTGTTGCATAGTCTTGTATAATGTCGTATAGTCTTGTATAATTAACATTGTATAGTATCGTATAGCCTTATATAGTGTCGTATAGTGTTCCATAGCGTTGTGTAATGTTGTATAGTCTTCTTTAGTGTAGTATAGTGTCATGTATAATCTTGTATAGTGTCATAATTTTTATAGTTTTGTATAACGTTGTATAGTGTTGTATTGTGTCGTATAACCTTATATATTTTTGCATAGTCTTGTATAACGTTGTATAGTGTTGTATGTAATGTTTACAACACTCGTGTCCGTGTTGTATTGAATATATTATCACTCGCCTTCGGCTCGTGATAATATATTCAATACAACACCGCCGCTCATGTTGTAAACATTACATATAGTGTTGTATAGTGTCGTATAGCCTTGTATATTATTGTGTAGTGTCGTATAGTGTTGCATACTATTTAAAACACGAGTAGGAGTGTTTTATCAGATATAAAACGCAAAGCGCAGCCGAGCGTTTTATGTCTGATAAAACACGACAACGAGTGTTTTGAATAGCTTAAAATACGACTACAAAAGAATACTAATTAGGATGAACCATTATATAATCATGAACAATTGTATAATGCCACATGCTTTATCAGATATAAAGTCACTCCACGTGACACATTATGGCTGACATGATTTGCCACAAGTTTTATGAATTATTAATGAGTATTTTAAACTCTTGTATATAGTGTCGTATAGTCTTGTATAACGCTGTATAGTGTCGTATGGCCTTATATAGTGTTGTATAGTCTTGTATAACATTGTCGGGATTCGCTTAACCCGGCAAATAACTCACGTTTGTTCAGTTTATAGTTTACTTTATTGCTGATATTCTGTTCTCGTTTTTCACCTACCAAATACATGTCAACAACTATTTTACTACCAAATATCAACCAAATTATTACTAAATATGCCAAACTCGCGACACTCTCCCCCTATTTTTTACTGTATGTATTAAATATGATCCTGTCCGTAATGTAAACCTTATTAACTAGAAGTTTATGAATAAATTTACTGCATCGTTCAAATGGTTAGTTCCTCTTGATTTGCAATCTCTTTTATCATATTCCTAGCGACTACGGCTGCCTTTCTAGGATTAAATTCTCTTGCTCTGGGATTAAGTTCAGTAACTTCCTCCGTCTTATGTGGTATATCACATGATAACTCCATTGGACATAGTTGCTGCACCGCTCTCTCAATAAATGACTTCCCAGCTCTTAACCTCACCGCGCGTACAACACCGTCTCTTCCTTTAATCAGCTTCACTACCACCCCGATGTTCCATTTTCCTCGATTCCGTTCATCCGATGTTATTAATACCACGTCTCCAGGTTTGATAGAGAGTTGTTTGGTCTTATGGTTAAGGTTATGTCTCTCTCTCAAGCCTTTCACGTACTCTCCAGACCATCGGGACCACAATGCATCCTTGCAACGCCGTAGATATCTTGCTCTTTTTCTCAGATTACCGTCTTCGATTGATTCGATATCTTCCTCTGGCAATAGATTGGACTGTTCGAACATCATTGAATTTGGAGTTAAAACGGGTAACTGAATGTCATCCTCGACGTATGACAATGGGCGATTATTCAGTGCGATTTCGACATCGAGTATCACTTCTTCGAATTCGTTCCATGTTAATTTAGCACGTCCGCTCGACTTATACAATGCTCGTTTCACTAGCCCCACTAGTCTCTCGAATTGTCCTCCCCACCAGGGAGCTCTGCTTAAATTAAATTGCCATTTTATGTACTGGTGGGCGAGATAATTTTGAAGCTTCTCATTTTTCATGATCGCTCTGAGCCACTTCGCTGCAGCTACAAAACTTTTGGCGTTGTCGGAATAGATCTTACTAGGTCTACCACGTCTAGCCACAAACCGCTTTAAACTTCTGATGAATCCCTCAGTCGTTTGATCTTTTAAGAGCTCGAGATGGATGGCTCGGGTAAGACTACATGTGAACAACAGGATATGAGCTTTGCCGTTTTTCGTTGAACTAATCTTGTATTCCATTGGTCCCGCATAGTCGACACCGATTACTTGGAAAGGAGTCGAACCAATGGTCCGGTCTGTTGGCAGTGGCACGGAATTTCTTGCACCCGAAGCAATTGTTGATAACTTTCTTTGTTAACTGCCTCAATCGTGGGATCCAATAGTCACGTCTAACCAAAGTCATTGTGAGGCCAACCCCCCCGTGCACAGTCACGATGTGGGCGTCTTCAACGATCTTCTTAGATAAACGTGCCGCAGGTGGTAAGTATAGAGGAAATTCTCCTTGAATGCGACCACGGCACTCGTATAACCCAGCTGAGTTCAGCTGTAAGTTCAGTCTTAATTTGTCTTCTTGAAACTCGTCTGTACCGCTGGAGCTATATTGGACTCTCTTGATCCACCACTCAACTTGTTGATGTATATCTTTAGTTGTCAAAGGACCGGTAACTCTCGCTAGTTTCTTCAACTTACAGTTCGTTAGGAATCTTCTAATCCAAGCCATGATACGGACTGCAGACCAAAAGCAATGTTTCGACAATAATTCTTCAAACTCATCATTTATCTCCACGGCAGCTGCGAATAATTCTCGGCTCAGTTTCGCTTCTTCTTCAGTTTCCTTGCTTGCCATAGGAACAATTGACTCCGGCCACTGGTTGGGGTATGGTAACCACACTGGTCCGTTTAACCAAACCTTGGGGAGATTGCTTCCAAGACACCCTCTGCTTCCAACGTCAGCTGGATTCTGGTCAGTGGTTACATGTCTCCACTCCATGAACTCCTTCTCGTTTATCTTACGCACTCTGTTAGCTACGAACTGTTTATAAGTTCCACCCCCTTTGATCCAATATAGGGCTACAGTGCTATCTAGCCATCCCGTAACAGATCTCACCAGTTGACCATCAAGGGCATTCTTTGTATTCTCTGCCAGGTTTGCCGCCATGTGCGCTGAAACAAGCTCTAGCCTCGGGATAGACAAGCCTTTCTTCGCTAAACGAGACTTCGCGGTCAGTAGGCCCTGGTTAACTCCCGACTCTTGGTGGACAACTGCATAAACTGCCGCCGACGTCCCAACTCCACTTGTGTCTCCGAACACATGTAGATCTATCGCTTTAGTCGGTTCTTGAATTGATGTGATACTTCTTGGTATCTCTACTCTACCAGGTAGGCTATTCTCGAATTTGCACCACTGATCTGCGACGCTTTCCGACACTTTCGCATCCCAGGGTAGATGTTGGTCACAAACTTGCCGATACATCAGCTTTCCTGAAAGTGTTGTGGGCGACACTAAACCAAGTGGATCATATATCGAGGCTAAGAATCGTAACATTTCTCTCTTGGTCGTTTCAGCAATTGGTTGTGGAAAAGTAACAGATATAGTGTCATTGTTTTTATTCCATGGCAGCCCCAGCAACTTGGTTTCTCCCGCTTTGACTCCGAGCTGATCCTTCGCGTAACTTTGCTTCCCATCATCAGGCTCACTTTTCGCTTCTAACACCGATTCGTTGGAGTGCCATTTGTGTAACTCAAACTTGGCTTCTTTGAATATTGCTACAGTGGTCTCCTTCAGATCAAGCACTTCCTCTTTAGTGTCTCCCCCCGTGATGACATAATCAACATATAAACATTTCTCGATTTCTGCGACTTCATTTGGATATCGTTCCTTCAGACTTTCTAGATGCCGTTTCAGCGTTGCTCCGAGCAGAAATGGTGACTGCACTAACCCAAACAGTGCTCTGGTGAATCTGAGAACCTCTATCTCTGATGTTTCCTCCTTGACCCAGTGGAACCTTAACACATCTCGATGTTCTGGTCGGATTCTGATCTGAAGAAATGCCTTTTTGAGATCACCAGCCAACGCAACAGGTTTCAACCGATTCCTCACCAACACATCCCAAAGGATATTTTGCAAGGGCGGCCCTGTCTCTAAGCAGTCGTTCAATGATTGGCATTTGTCATTGGCTTTAGCTGATGCGTCAAACACGATACGAGTTTTGGTGGATTCTGCTGACTCCCTTACGACAGGCTTATGCGGTAGATAGAATTCTTTCCCGACTGGTTCACTGGTTACTCGTTCAACTACACCCTCAGCAACTTGATTTTGAATGATCTCATCGTATTCAGTCATGAGGTTGGGATATCTTCGTAGTTTCTTGACTAAATTATCTAATCGTTTTAAACTGCCATGTTCATTACTCGGAAGAGGACCATGACCCTGTTTCCAAATCAATCCGGTCTCATACCACCCTTCATCACTTCGGCTAAGCTGTTCTTTGAACTCATCATACACCGACTGCTGGTCACCTTGCGCTCGATCTTCTAAACCCAGAACATCCAAATTACACAACTGTTCGCAGTCTCCAAATGATGTTCTGGTAAGGTAGGTATTGCTAAGATTCACTTCCTTTCCTGGGGACATCATCGACCAACCAAATGCTGTTAACTCTGCAACCGGCTCACCTGGATTTCCAATCTTTGGCTTCGTAACTGTTTTTATGCGAGAGTACTCACTGGCACCCAGGATCAAATGGATTGGTAAAACAGGTTTGCTATCTTTATCATCCATTACCACTCCTTCAAGGTGAGGATACTGGTTGATTTTTTCTGCATACCTTGGATTTGGAACTGACAAGAGAACTCCCTTATCCACTTTGTTGACTTCTGTTTCCATGGCAAATTTCCCAGTGATGCTAGAAACATTCACATTATACACTTCGATCTTTTGTGTTGTTGAGCACATCATCATATCAATCCGTTTATGCTCAGTTCGAGTTGGTCGTTTTGAAAGCCGATCAATAAGAGCTGCGGAAGCATACGAGCTTCCTGAACCTGTGTCAAGCAATGCTCTGACCTTAATTCCGTCAACAAGTACTACAACTACTGGGTAAATCACTTCACCTTTGACTGACGCTACCATCATTTGCTCCGTCCCTTTATTGCATATAGATGTATGATGCCTTTCGTTACATTTCTGACAAGTGGTTTTGCTCCGACACTCTGATGCCCGATGTCTTGTCCCAGCGCAGTTGAAACACAACTTCTTCGAGCTCAATACCTTTCTCCTCTCAGTGACACTAGTTACAGTTTTACAGTCAACTGATTTGTGCTGTGTAGACTCACAATAAACACAAGGTCTCGGTTTCCATTCTCCCTGGTTTGCTTGAAATGATTTATCTTTGGGCAGCTTCGACTTGTATTTTTGATCTTCTGGACTGACCGGGTTGCGCTCGCACCACTTCCTCAGGGCTTCAACCATTTGACTAAAACTCCAGTCCTGCCAATCGTCGTCTAACCGTACCAGGTCAGCTCTGATATCAGGTAACTTATCGAGGGTTACACGAACATAGCCATTAATTTCTTTGATCTTTCCAAGTGTTTCCAATGCATGGACATTTGTCACCAAGGTCTCATAAAATTCATGTACTTTACCAGGCTGGGAACCCCGCACTGTTTGCAAGGATATAATCTGCTGTACATGGGCATTCGACACTTCACTCGGTTTTCCATATTTCGTCTTGAGTATATTTTTAGCTCGTTCATAGCCTTCGGATGTAACTAGACATAGACTAGAAACTCTTTCAGGTAAGAAAATTTTGCCACTTGTGTTATTTCAGCTTTGTCGATTTCCGTTTCAAATTGGCTCCAGAATCGTTGCCAATCTAATGGTGTCCCTTGAAACTTGGTTATAACTAGTTTGGGTAACTTGACTTTGCTAAGATTTTCTTTGCTTGATTTACTTTCTTCTATAAGTTTCTTTTCATACTCATGTTTCATTTGCATTTTCGCTTCCTCAAGTTTTAATTCTTCTTCGAAACGCTGTCTTCGTTTATTATCTTCTCTCAGTTCATCTTCTTCCCTAGCTTTCGCCTGTAACTTTTCCACATCACCATGTAACTCAGCCATAACTTGTTCATACTTCGCAATCTTTTCTTCGATCTCAAGTGTCCATTGTGTAACATCTTCTGGGTTTTCACCCTTCTCGATTTTCGCTGTTTGTATTAAGACTTTTTGCTCGTGAATACTGTCGATTAACTCGCTAAATACTTTCTCTTGTCGCTCTAAACTCTTCAGTTCGTTTTTCTCTTGGATTCTCGGTGTATCACTTCGCGTAAATTCAAGCATACGTAGCTTCGCTTCGATCTTGTTTAACATTTGTTTTACGTCCGCCATCTTGAATTTATATTTTCCGTGTCACATAAAATAAACATTCAATATCGATTTATTTCACTCTAAAAATACCTTTTCCAAATAGTTCTTGTTTATAAAATCCTGTTCGGGGTCGCCACTTTTGCCGGGTTAAGCGAATCCCGACAACCTCTAACTTTTGCATATCTAATTAGCTTTGATATCCGACTGTTCTCCAGAAACCTGTCTTCCAAGTTAGCAATTTATTCCGTTTTAGAAGCATTTATACTACATCTGTGACTACATATTTTTACGTCTGTGACCACTTTTCAACTCTGATCAATGATCATAAATTGGCTGCCCTTGTTACTTATCAAAAATGCAATAATATTATCGACGCCATTCTGCAAAATTTGAATGTTTGATTCCATGGATGTTGTTTTTTGTTTTCGTGCGTTATTTTAATTGTATGTATTTGGAAAATCTTTGTAGCTCCAGTGATTGTAGAGATGTCAGAAGAACAAAAAGAGAAGATCCTCTCCTCCCCGGAGTTTCAACATTTTCTTGATCGCACAAGTCGCATTATTGAACGAGCAATTTATGAAAAAGATGTCACGTTTGATTATGGAAAAACGGAGGACGTGGAGGGGTAAGACGTTGTATTTTATACAGTAGATACACGTATACTGTAGGTTTTGTGACAAGTAAGGATTGTGCATTTGCCCGACAAGCTGCGAGATTCAAAACTTACCGTTAGAAACACTTTTTCCATGCAATTTGCTTCTCTGTATGTTGTACAAGGAAGAAATGCCGTCCGGCGCCTATTTGTGTGTGGGAGCGTGATGTTTTCTCCCCCTGATTGTAACATTACTAAGGTTTCTATTGAAATAGTACTGTACACTGTGTTCATATTTGAAACTCTAGTTTACATACATGTAGTGTGCATGCAAGTTAGCATTCAGAAGGTACTTATGAATGCTGAGCACGCATGCCAAGTAGGCCACCCATGATTGAGGAGGTGTGCAAGCAAATACTATCAAGGCTAGGAAATATTATTCACTCTTGGACAATTTTGCAAAATGTAACTAGAAAATACATGCATGCAGAAACCCTCGCCTTGCTGACAAAACCGTTGCATTTTCCGAACAGGAAGTATCTAGAGTAGTTGTTTTAATTACAAAATTATCAATTTCCCAACATATATGTTAGGTATGTAATTATACGTAATACAAGCTTCAATTTATGGTAAAATTCAACCACAAACAATTCACAAAACGTTTTAAAGTGTTCTTTATAAAACTAAACTGCCTTTAACTATTAAATGGCTTTATCGATAAACTTTGAGTTTGCAATAAAATGATTTCAAATTCTCGCTTGCAAATAACTTTGGTCTTTGCTTTATTTTTTATTTAAAAAAATCAATATAATAAAAAAGGGAATCAATATTAAAGTTACACTGAAATTTATATATGCTGTCTTGTTTACTTGTTTCATATACGCAAAGGCCGTCGGGTTTTAAAGCCATTATAAAATCAATATTAAAAACAAACTTACCTTCGTTAACGTCGGCTCCCTTCTTTTAGCTGATTCTTTCGCCCTTTCTTTCTTGAAATTTACAAAATCTTGCAGAAATACGAGCAAAAATGAAATATATATTTGCAAGAAATTTATCAATCATCAAATCTTGAAATGTTTGCTATTTCGCTGTCGTCATGCAGTCGTTATGATGCAAACTTTAAATTGGACCAATCAGTGTCCGTTATTCATGACAATCCGCCATATTTTTGAGATCAGTGAGGATGACCACCCATCGTTGGTGACCGACGCCCGCGCTCATTGATGAACTTTACACTTCGCTAATGCTTTCGTTTCCCCGGGTGTAAATAGCCGGGGGGAATTAGTACCCTCGCACGGCGCTTCGCGCCGCCGGCTCGGGGATTATTTATGACATAGAGAAACAATTTTGGACTTTTTATTATTATTATTATTTAAACTTATTTAGGCAACTGATTTTCAAGGGGCCGTTTACATGCAATGAATTAAAGCCTGCACATTATTAATAGACCTTTCCGGTAATTACGTCACAACTACACTGTTTTCTACTTAGGACCACCTTAAATGGTATTGATTTCGAGTTTGTTTCTCACGGGCTATGGTCAGAGAAGCAGAACATCCTTCGTCAACACATGTACATGCATAAAAAAGAATTTTGGATTTTGACTATTAAATGTGGAAATAAGCTTAAACACGAAAACGAGGTTGAGGGGCCATGACCCCTCTTGGCCCCTCAGCCTCGTTTTCGTGTTTAAGCTTATTTCCACATTTATTGGTCAAAATCCAAAATTCTTTTTATGAATGTGTTGAAGAAGGATGTTCCGCTCCTCTGACCATAGCCCTTGAGAAACAAACTCGAAATCAATACCATTTAAGGTGGTCCTAAGTTGAAAACAGTGTTAGTTGTGACGTAATTACCGGAAAGGTCTAATGCATAACATTACTTTACATTACATCACATACATTACTGATAGATTACATCACATACATTACATTACAAACATAAATATATCTAAATTATCCTAATAATACTATTTACAAAAAGAAATACTGGCGAGTTTTATGATAACAATTTTATAATCATGTATTAACAGTTTCATAAATTAGGTTATAACGTTAACGTTTATTGTTTAATTTAGGGATAGTCAAATGTTTGATAACATTGCACTCAATCGTGAATTTTATGATGAAAAATGGTCCAAAAATCGTGTTGTCACAAGTTTAGATTGGTCAACCCAGGTATTGTTGTTAGTTTTCTTTCTGATCATTAATGTCATACTTAGACCGAGATTTGGACTGTGGTCTAAAATATTAAATATAATTTTGCCCGTGGTAAATCATGTGGCCGAAGTTAAGTGTTGTGCGCCATTGTTATAAACATAGCCTTGTACCATTTTAGTATCCTGAATTATTGGTTACGTCATATTATAAAAATGAAGATGCTCCACGGGAGCCTGATGGTGTCGTCTTAATATGGAACATCAACTACAAGAAAACAACGCCTGAATATACTTTCCATTGTCAGGTAAAATATGACGATTCATGCTGTTAGGTGTTCCACCGAAATAATGGTGGTTGTGCAAAACGTTGGAGCAGAAGGAATGATCGTAAAGTCATCAGTGGCGTAGCCAGCCCGACAATTATTCATTTCTTTAGAAATTGATTATTTTCACAGTCAATGAACACGCGAAAATATTTGCATAGCGGGACTAAACCGTCGGGCTGGCTACGCTACTGAAAGTCGTCATGTATACAGTACAGTCGTGTTATGTGGATTACAAACACCGGAAATTGGCTATTTGCCAAACAAAAACACTAAATGGCTGATCAGTTATGACTGATCACATAAAATACGTAGTAGTTCAATTGAATTAAATGAATGGTTATTTCATTAGCACTGTCAGCATAAAAGCTAGAAAAGGAACACAAAATATTGTCCGACCGTTATTAGCCAATGTCTGAGCAACTGCACAGTTGAAAGTGAAATTGTTATAATCCACACTGTCATGTATAAATATTTTTTGACTAATGCTGTAATATAAATTTTAACTTGTTGAATTATGCTGATGATGCAGTATTTCTGCGTAACGTTTATGTCACTAGAGTTCTGGTTCCAGCCATTTATTTAATCAGTTCGGCTTCGGCCGGAACCGTATTCTGTTGCAGCTGGATATGTGAAACCGATTCGAGTCAGAATGCAAACTGGTTCGATCGAATTCTTGCTGAACATTTTCACCCTTGAATCAGATAAGAATCATGTTTGTTCCAGTTGTATATAAATTGGCCTAATAGTTTCCCGTCGTCTCAAGTTTCTAACTGATTATAATTGTCTTTGGGTGTTCATGCCATTGAAAATGTTTGCGAATGGAAATCGTATTTATTTTTTTTTTAGTCTGGTGTGATGTCAACAATGTTTGCTCGATTTCATCCGAATTTAATTGTGGGTGGAACATACTGTGGTCAGATTGTATTATGGGACAACCGCAGCAATAAACAAACACCAGTTCAACGAACTCCGTTGTCGGCAAAAGCACACACGGTAAGAATTTTTTTATAATAGATCGGGGACCCTCGTGCGTCTACACATGCGTAAAGAGGCGCGAGTTTACTCTGGTCTGCAGCAGATCTGCTTCAAGGCTATTTGTTATATCAGGTTGTATTTGTCCTCTTAGCTTTGTGTGGTTGTTGGTTGGGCTAATGAGTGATGCCTCGCCAGACTTTAGTTATTACAAGTTGTTCAAAATGCCTGTTATTGTCCTGCAGATAAGTCGTACATGTAAGTGACTAACCTGTTGCTGGTTAATCCAGTGCAGCGCACAGTAGTTGTCGACGTTAAGGCTGTTCTCCATTACGGTCACTTTACCTGCGCTGGACTCAAGAGACCAACACAAG